TCTCTCTCTCTCTCTCTCTCTCTCTCTCTTTCTCTCGCGCGCGCGCATGCGCGTGCGCGTGTGCTTAGCCCCATTGCTTCAGCTCACTATTTGCAACCCTAAGTCTGAGGTATGATGGGTTCAAGCATCTATTTTTGCAGCATGATGGGTGCACCGAAAGCAAATACATAATCACCCCCCCACGTTCCCCCCCCATTCTATCTCTCTCTCTATAAAAAGAAAAACAACCAAAACAAAGCCTCTTGCTATTCAATTTTTATAACCTTACATCAACCCTTTGGGCTGCTTTCCCGCGTACAACGGTCGCCTTTTTGCAGAGGACAAACAGGTAGGTGGCAGTACCTCTGCAATCCGAAGAACAGGTCCTTGGTTGTTGCATTTCTGAGGGGGGAACATGGCACAAGTATTCTGTAGGGGGGAACCCCAATTGGTCATAGAAATGGGGATCGCCCCACCACTCTCGAAATGTGCAAAATGAGAATGAACTAATCCTAGAACATCGCCAGATGCGCCCGCCCCATTTTTGTCCTTTTCACACGTCGAGAGTGGTGTGAAGAGGCCCAATAGTTGACGTCGGCACTTTGTTTCACCAACGTAGCAACAGTGCGCCGTGTGTAGTCATGCTTTTGTCAATTCCCTCTGGTCTGGTCTGTTCTGGTCTGGTCTGGTCTGGTGTTATAATATTATACGGACGACTGGGGTTGCGCCTCACAAGCGGAGTATGAACTCAATGCGATTCCGAGTCGAACGCCTGCGTGTTCTTGCCCTCTTTGGCAGGCCGATTTTCCTCGCCCCATGTCCTCTTTGGGAGGCCCATTGTACCCATTGCCCAGTTTGGGCCTCGCTCCGCTGCCCACCAAATTGTTGTGCGAAATGAGAACGAATCTTCCTCTGGAACGGGAGACTCGGAGATACGACGCCATATGTTCTGCCTTTTATGCATTCGGAGGGTACTGGAGCGAGGCCCTTTCAACCGTCACATCGAGCTGCATTTAGCTGCACCGCAGGGCGGCGGGGTATCCCTGCCCGTCGGCTGCCTCTCGCGCCTGCACCCTGAACGAGAGGATAGAAAGAGCGGGAGGGTTGCACAGCACAGTGTGGCCTTGAAACAAGAGGTTGTTTGTGTTTGGCAGCAGGCAGGCGGTAGGGTAAGAGAGAGATCCAGTTCTCCTGTGTTCAACCCACAAGTGGGAGGAAGTGAGGTGAGGGGAGAGAGGAGCGAGGAGTGAGGAGGTGCCGACCTGTTCTATGCCGTGCCTTGCCTTGCCGTGGGGTGCCGTGTTAGGAGTGTAGGTGGGCCGGTTTCTTGCGCGCTACCAGTGGGGAGGCATCTATCTCTCTGCAGGACCCAAAAATCCAGCAGAGACATCGATGCCCATCATCTGGCATCAACGGGCGGTGAAGCAGCTGGTTGTTTATCTTGTTTGGGGTAATTAGTCTACAGTCCACTCCTTCGGGTCCATTTTTCAATCAGTCAATCAATCTCAGCTAAGGAAGGGGTTGTTAGCCTGCCCTCCCAAGGCCCGGCTTTCCCTTCCTTTCTGAGGCTCTCCCTCTCACGGCCGATCGACGTCGGCCTGCTTGTCGTTATTGTCATGCTCGCTCGTGTTGGGTGTCCATTCCATTTCCTGGGCGTTCCCCACCCCCCACGTGCTGCACTCTGCAAAGCCGCCTTGTGCCTAGTCATCTAGCTAATCAACGACTACCCAACTTGTTGGTTCGTTCGTTCGTTCGTTTGCTAGGTGCGCGTTTCGCGTGGACTCGTCCTCCTGTCCCCCCTTTTTCGAGTGGGGCGAGTCAGACAGAGCACAAGAGAAGCGAAGAGAGTGCGGAGTCGTTGTTGCGCGAAGGTTGAGGCTTGCCATTGTTGAGGTGGGGAAGGAGGTAATCAAGGTGGGAAGGTAATCAAGGAAGGATCGCGAAGTCGAGGGGACGAGGAGCGAGTACGGAGTAGAGAGGAGGAGGAGGAGGAGGAGGAGGAGGAGGAAGAGGAGGAAGAGGTAGAGGGATCGACGCTCGGAGGGGAGAGAAGAAGGAGAAAGAAGACGGCGCCACGATTACGGAGCTGGAGCCGTTTGTGTCATTCGACTTTCAGTTGGCGGCGGGAATGGACACAAAAGTAAACGGGACAATGATGACGAAATCCCACGACGCTGTCAAGCTCTTCGTGGGCCAGATACCCAAGATGCTGACCGAAGAACAGCTGAGGCCAATCTTCGGCGAGGCGGGTAATGTGTACGAGATCAACATCATCAAGGACAAGACTTCGAAAATGTCCAGAGGTAAGTTCATGTTTATGCACATGTACGTGGTCAGGTTCGAGGTCAGGTTCATGCGAAACCTTCGATTGTTATCCTTTGCCGCCTTTGGCAGGGGCACTTGAAGGTCTTCTTGTTGCTGCGTTGGCTGCTCGCTGCCGTCTTCCCCCAAACACAACGCACCCTCAGCGTGAATGTATATAACCCATCTTTCCGGTCTGGTACAGTTAGAATGAGGGCGCGTGCGTTGTGTTCGGGGGAAGACGGTAGTGTGCAGTGCCGTCGTCCATTGGCAGCAGCTCTCTGCTGGTCCCCTTCTCTTCTCTTCCGCCCACCCTCCCCCCCGTTCTCTCTGCCCGCTCTCCCCACTCCATGGCTGTTGTTCGTTGGCGCTGTTTTTTTTTTTTGTCCTGTTTTGGGTCCTGAACCGCACCGGAAAGATGGTTTGTATACATTATTTCATTCATTGTATTTTGGCCAAACGAGAGGCGTCCTACCGTCCTACCCCCCGTCCAGACGAGATCCCTGCCGTTTTCTCCGAATATAAGCGACCGTCATCATGGCTTCTGTATTCGGGGCAATCTTCAGTCTACATACAGCGGTAATGGCCGTGCGTTCTATTCGGGGGAAATATGGTAGGTTAAGGCTGCTCATGTGAAACGAACTCGTGGATCAACGGAATGGAAGACCGTGCGTTCTATTCGGTTTCTTGTGTTACCCTGCTTCTTGCTCCCTCCCACCAACATCTTTTTTGTCTTTCCCGTTAGGTATTTTAGTCGAATGCCGTGGAGATAGAGACAACCCGGAAGAGGGTTTCAACAAGCCTGATGGTAGGAAGAGAATCAACAGGCTAGTAGACGGACAGACTAGATTGGACCCGACCCGGACTCGACCTGAGCAGGAGGGAAGAGGTTCAGGAGAAGGACAGGAAGGGAACACAAACTCGGGTTCTCTGTCATTCAATGAGCGATGGTAGAATGCGGACGATCGCCAGGCGTGCTAGTGTATCTGCTGTCGCCATGTCCCAGCCGCCGTGCACGCCGCCGCTGCCGCTGAGTTTACCCGCAATCTGGTAGATATTTCAGTTCCAGGGGCAAGAGGCGGCCGCCTTGCGTAATTATCCCTCATGCAAGCACACACACACACACACAGAGAGAGAGAGAGAGAGAGAGAGAGAGAGAGAGA